CCCCAAAACCCCAAAACCCCAAAACCCCAAAACCCCAAAACCCCAAAACCCCAACTATTTTATATAAAATTGAAATAAATATATGAATTACCAACCTAAACTCTCAGGCAATACCAAAAATATATCAACCTTCAGGTAGGTTGCTAAACAATAACACACTAGGTTACCTCCCAAGACTTTCAGAGGAAACAGGAGGAGTGTGCATACAAGTCCTTCTTATTACTCTCAGACTCCGCGTTTGAGTGACGAAGATAAACAGAAATGTAATTTGTTACTCAAGGAATATGTCAAATTACAAAGGCAAAACATTAAGTTTGCGGATACTGTGAGTCTTTTACATTTCTTCAAAGGTTAAATTATTAACAATTACGGACGCTTAAAGAGTTCCAAAGAATTTAAGCTAACTAGCTGCTATATTTCTCTAACAGCAAACTGATTTTACTTAACCAAGACACTATTTCTTAATTTAGCTTCTCAGCTTAGTATTTTAAGGAAACATTTTATTGCTGATGTGCAATGAAACCACTAAAGGTTGTATAGAAATCTCAGATGTTAAATCAAAGCTTGAAGGCTTCACTGATAGAGAAATCTGAAAGAGCTAAAGCTGAATACAAACAACTAATCAGAAAGTACAGAATGATGTATAACAATAAGCCATCCAGAGTTAGAACTAGGAGTATAATCCAGTTCAAATACAAGGGTGATGAGACTATTGATATGGAAGATCTGAGAAGGAGACAGAGGGAGAGGAAGAAAAGAGCAGTATTAAATTTATTATAATATTCTAGGAAATTAGAAAAGGAAAATGCTTATCAGGCCAGAAAAGCAGTTTAAAATAATGTCTTTAAGAAGACACCCTTTAGCTTGAATGAAGATAATAAAGAACAAGATAAATTTGTGAGTATTGGAAAGAAGGGGCCTGTTCCAATCCATAGTTTTAAGCTAAACCTTAAAACTGACTTTAGAAAGGAGACCATGCCTATTATTAATTTCAAAAAGACTGAGTCAACTCCTTTATTAGAGAAGAATAAACTTGAAGCTTCTAATACTTTTCTCACTAATATAGGAGAAGACCTTTCAAAAAGTAAGAATTTAATAAAATTAATCATTCTGTTCTTCTCATCATTAATTTTCTAGAACTATCAAATGAAGATAAGAGCAATAATAGCCAGAAGGAATCAACCACCAAACATCATCCTCATAGATACTATAATTTTCCGATAAGAAAGTAAAGAAAGAAATGAAAATAGTTTAATGAACGATGATCTGATCCAGCCAAAAGATATTCAAAATGACTTAATCCCAACTGAGCCTACTTGATTAGATATTGCATCTGTACCTGTTGAAGAGAAACCAGATGCAGAGAAAGAAACAACAATCCATACAAGCATTTACTCGGCAAATAATCTGCCAAAAACTGCAGTCCAGCCAAAAAGAAAAATTGAACCATTAATTTATGAAGTTGAATATGAACGATGAAAAGTTAGTAAAAATAGAGGCTATAAGGAGTTCATCGAAGATATCAACAAAAGACAGAGCGAAAGGAAGAACCAGAGGAAGATCCACTTTAATAAGAGCACAGAACCCACTGGCCAGTATGTACAGCAATATTTCGTTAGACAACTCGGGTATTCACTCCCTAAATAATTTGTGAAGTTTCAATCAAAATATTTAATTGGGGTTTTGGGGTTTTGGGGTTTTGGGG